ATCTCTCGTGGGATTTGCTCTGTTATTGTGTCGATTACACCTTTTAATGTAGCGTCACGTTGGTGAGTAGCATTCCACTTCATTTCCTTTGATGTTTTGTCTCCTGGAAAATCACATATTTGTATATAAGAACTCCGTTGTGAAACCACGACTTCGGAGCACCCAAATGTGAACGGAGCGTGAATGAAAAGCGTTTGACTGGACAGGGTGTTGACTGGCTCATGAACGTACAGTGCTACACAATGCGTCGGTCAATGGTTTGAGCGTGAGTCTTCCGTCCAACAGACGGTGTTAGTCCTGGAAAAATAGGAATCTGAGCTGAAAGTGGGCCGTTGAAAAAGTAAATGTTGTAGAGGTGGAGGCTGTACTGCTGAATCTGGTGGTGCACCCCGAAGGGGGGCCTGATTTAGATGATCGGAAAGCATTCAGCGCAAGCACTCAATTAGCTATGAAATAAACGACTTCAAAAAAGAATACATCGACTGACTATCTACTCACTGAAACAATGGTGAATATTCTTGGCCAATGGTTAATAAATGAGTTGAGATATAAGTAGTATATAAACCTCCGTAATTCAAAGTCGAATATTTCATGCTTACTAAACCAAAAAGCTGCAAACTACAGCTGGAACATTCGAGACTATCCTCGGTGGCTCCATGGGATGTCTGAGTTCGTCAGCAGGCTCATTGTCATCTCTTTTGAGGTGTTCTCATTTCCTCTTTTGTAGGCTCAGAATTTGTGCGGTTCAGTCGAGTGCTACTCCAAGGTAGTACGGGTTGGCAACCGCCGGTGTACCGCCCCATTCTGCCCTGTCGTGCCGCCCCGCCAGGAGCGCTTGTCGCACCTGTGGCGCTGGAAAAGGAGGTGTAAGTGCTCTCCTCCATATCCCATTCCATGCCTCCTCAGCATGCTGCTAGATCGTAACTGACAGCAAAATGCATTCATGTTAGGGGAAAGCAATACTCATTTGTTAGGGATGTATTTGACAATCCGATCCTATTTGCGTATTTCTGTGATTGCTTATCAAGTCAATAACTTGTTGATTTGCTAACCTCTCATAGGTAGCAGCTAGTTCTCCCCAAGAAAACAGATTGTTTAGTCCGATTTTATGATCACAGCAATAAGAATGCCTATGTTTGTTTGTTTATTGGTCCACTCTGTTGAGACCACTCATTTTCCTCATCTAACAGTTAAATTTTTTTTTTTTAAACTTGGAGTCAATCTTGCGTGATTTGCCATTGTTGCAGCGAATGCTGACCAGTCTGCACTTCCTGCCCTCCAGGGAGATCCACACCCTCCTGCTCTTTTTAATTCATAGCGATGGAGGTGATTGACCAAGTAGAACGATAGAGTTCACTCAGTTTCTAACCCAATTTTGCAACGCCCTCCACGCTCCCAATTACTGTTATTCCATAACCACAGTCTGATTCTATTCTTCGTTTTGCTATTTGTTTGGCTGCCTTCACTCTCTGAAAGATCTATTTTCAAATAGAGGGGAAAGTCAATGAGACTAAAATAGTGTTGGATTCTGGCTGATTGACGTCCTTTATTAGTCTACTTGTAGTCTACTTCTACACGTCATTGTATTTGTGAATACCTGACTTTCCCACTTGAGTAATCATTCATTCACCCAGAGAAGCACATTGTGCTCATTCCTATTTCAACTTGACAGTGACATTTGGACTTTGACATGGGAAGTCAGTATTTTGACGGATGCATTAGTTACTTAATGATACTACATTCTCCCGGATTCTGATTGGCAGCTTGGAGCATTTTCATGGAGGCATATGTGCTGCGAATCACCTCCGAATCGCGACCAAAGAGTAGCTCTCCTTAGTCATTCATTTACAATTTAATGCAAATTTACCATCACCACAATGACGCATTCACTGTCACGTGCAGGTGATAACTCGCATTTCTTGCCTGGGTCCACACGTCACAAATACGTGACATGCGCTTCCGCCACTCCATAATATCGCCTTGCTGTGCTAAGTCTTTTCACAAACGGATCAGCCGGATTCAAAGCAATTTGGTCTTGGCTGGAGGACAATCACAACTCTTTTCTTTGAACAACAGTTGAAATCTTTGGGAAGTTAATCGCTGTTGTCATCACCTTCGGTGGGATGAAACGACCGTGGCTGTGGGGGCCGATTTTCCACTGGGGCAGACCCTGTCAAGCTCTAAGATGATAAAATTGTCTAGATTCTTCCATCTTAAGTAGCTAAAATACCACCACTGGCTGTTGTCCCAAACTGCCTGGGCTGTATTGGTTCTGTAGAGTTTTAGCACTTACTTTACCCTAGAAAGCAAAGGAAAACTGGATGCCCCTTTATTGAAATCTTACAGATGAATTGGAGGACTGGTGGCATAGGAACGGGACACGTAAAGTCCTATGCCAATGGCTTGAAAGCCGATTTGTCTGGATAAGTCTTCTGCCTCCCTCCTCTGTCTCGATTGCGTGTGGCATTCTGGATGCTCTCTGTGGTGCCTATTCTTCATGGGTGGAAAAATAAATTGACAGTTTTTCGTCTCGATGGGGAGGCCATCAGTCAACACTTCCATGACAGCTTTAACATAATCTGACCTTTTTGTACAGCTGAATCGCCTCATACTAGGATAGTCAAATCCACTGTATCGTTGCCCAAAATGCACTGACTTGTCCAAATTGCAAGTGGTCATGAATGTCTGCACCGTGTTCAGCGTTGCCACAGCAAGGTTTGTCCCTTCCACCATGTCACGGGGGCGGATTATGCAAACCAAGAGGCAGAAGTTGAACACTGCCTGATCATTGTTGCGTTGGGAGCAGGACCACGACGCGACAGCCGACGTTTTCACCGAAGGTGCACAGACGGTCACCTTCCAAACATTTGTAGCATTCATTCAGAGGGCTCACTGCTGAGCTGGTGAGCGGGTGAGGGAGTGAGCGTTCTGTCAGCGCAGCAAACATTTAAAAAACTGAGCATGAAGTCTTCTGTGGATGGGAAGAGATGTTGGTGGAGAGCTCGGGTGCTGCACCTTCGTCGTACTTCAGAAGTTTTGATAATCGACGCTCGGCGTTGCTTGATAGCGCGCATTCACCAACCCTGTTGTCCTCCATCTTGACTAACGATGTGTGGGTAGTACTGGACTGGCCCACGGCACGTGCACCGGCTATTACAAAGAGCAACAGGACAGAGTTGGCGGAGAATAGCTACATCCACTTATCGATAAGGTTTCATAGCGTTTTTTTACCCACTAGAATGAAATTTGACAGAGGTTACTGAGAGCACTTTACCTCTTCTGACGCTTATTAGCCACGGCACTACCCTGCTTCTATTTACGGCCCATCTGTGGACCACCTTACTTGACACAAATGCCACTTTTTTTCCTCCTTTCATCAAGCCAGACCGCATTTCATACCCCTTCGTTTGTTTGCCTGTCTACCTGACTGATGGGGCGAGAGGATGCAGCTTGGACGAATGTGTTCTCCGCTGCGGAAATCTCTTGCGCGTGGCGCAAAGGTCGGCTGTAAACGCTTGGCGTTACTACGATTGACGCAGTTTATTGCCTCATGGGCCACTTTACTGTCTAAAGTGGTGGTGGAGTCTGCACAGTTAAATAGGCATTTAAACAGACTTCGGCCGACCATATCCCACCTCTCTTGCTTGGAGTTCCGGATGACGACTTCTACTTTAGATGTCCGGTGCTCCACATCGAGTGCACTTCATGGAGGAGGACGTCTATCCAGGCCCTTTTCGGCATCTTTTAATGGGGGCAGACTCCATCGTGTCTCATCCTTTAATCGTCGCTTGTTTTCCCAACAGAAATGGTGAGGTCATGATAGGGCAGAAAAGAAAGCCTCAGCATAGAACTATTTGTCAGTTCGGCTAAACCCACCTAAGGGAATCTGCTTCGCTTCACCATCGTTCAAAATCGTAAGCTGTCTTTGGTGCCCTTGGTACCTACCCCATTTCGACATTGATCTCCATATCCGCTTCACTGTCAAATTCTATTTTTCCGTGTTCACACCATTGGTTGGTTTTGCGCCCCTCGATTGTCAGGAGGGAAAACTTATCTCCCCTTCAACGCATCAATCCAAAAATAGAAGGCGGGGAAGGGAGGGGCGAATCACAATGGAATGTTGTGTCAAATATCCGTTTCTCCTTAATACTACTGCTAAAATGCCTTCACTTAGCCTGATAGTTAACAACTCACTTATTCGCTTGTTTGTTGTGTGTGTTGACTTTCATTGTTAATTGATGTGTGTGTGGGAGTGAGTGAGTGTGGCTCTTTTATTTCCTAATTACGCAGTTAAACAGATTAAATGCTTGTGGTTTCATTTTACGGTTCCTGCTAGTTGAAATAACAGGCTCATCAAAATGCCAACATTGGCTTTCATTGGAGAAGGAAGAGGTGACTTGGGGTGGAAACCTCCCTACTTACCTCACTCAATAACGCGGTGTGTTGCTTATTTCTACTTTTGACGTAAATCGAGGTGCCACCTCTGAAGTAACTCAATTCATTGCTTGCTAAATCTTTTTTCATCTATCGGTTATGGGACAGAAATTGTGCCTTTGAAAGTCCGAGCATATTCGATGGTAACCCTCTCAATGGCACCTCAAGCCGGGTAGCCCAAGAGGACGAAACTAGGGGAGAGCGGGCTGACTGAAAGGGAGTAGTCATTGAAAGCTTGACAACCGTCTTTACTATCGCATTACAAGGGAAGCCCTCATGTAGTTGCCATGATTGCTTCCATGTGCAAAAGCTCCTAGAAGTTGACTAAAGTCCACTTCTTTTTAAGCACAGTTGATGTAGCCAAAACAGGTGGAAGGCGTGTTTGTCGAAGAACCGCTGATGATGGTGGGTAGATCTAACGTCTTCTGCGGGACTCTTTCACATCAGGTTGAGGGGTTTTACTTTTACAACTCCAAATAGGGAAGCAATAATGTCCGAAACACGTGTCTTGGGTCACCCCGCTCCAGCTGTCTTTACTCCTGCGGTGATGGTGGTGGTTGCGGTGTAATACTCGATTGAAGCAGGCCATTGGAACTGTGCAAACGCTTCAGCAACTGCCGTGTGTCTACCAGTAGTATTTTCCAACAGCAATCACTCCCGTGGATATTAAGTCAGCATGTGGAATTTCCAATCGGTGCATGACCTGTGATGAAGTTTTTGGAGCAGCGAACCTCCAGGGGAATGGGGAGCACAATTATTGTTCAACACATTTGGTTTCTGTGGTGTGTGGAATGTTCTAGGATGTCTCAGCCACGTCAATGTTGTTCTCAAGGTGTTGGCCACGCTTTACTGGGCGTGGTGGAGCAGGAAGGAGGACTAGATACGGTCTAAGGAGTCCTTTAACTT